TGGAGCAGCCAGCGCGCGCGGCAGAGAACTCAACCTTAAAGTCAGGACTGGGCTCGGCACACCCCCTTGCCAACGGTTGAAGTGGCCTGAAGCCAGAAAGGAAATGCTTGCGGATATCCTGTTGCAGAAGAATCATCGGGCCAATATTCGCGGCCGTATAGGTGAACTTAAGATTCCGACCCCAACGAGTTTACGATGGCCCTGAACCTTGCGCAGAGAGTCAGGCAGATTGAGCCCAGGAAAGAATGGTGGCCTTAGCACAATGCACACCCACCAAGGCGTACGCGGCAGGCAGAGGCTGGTCGGACACAGACTGCCAGCGCATGCGCAGGGCGGATCCACGAATGGCATCTGGACGCTACCGGGGCAGACGCACTGCCAGCGAAGGCGGCCGAAAAATCCAGGAGGGGCCCACAAGGCATCCGACCAGCGTAAAAAAAAGAAGCACAAAGCAAGCAGTGAAGGGCATACTTCTCCGCAATGGACGTGTCCACTGCCATGACTCGCCTCTCCAGCCAACACCACTGGCGCCCCACAAATAACGCTAAGCGTAGACGGGGCATACTTGAGAACCGCCCTGCGGATAAACTCTGGAAGAATCTTTGACCTCCACCCACAGGGCCAAGGTCAACTGAGGGCAGAGATAGCAAACTGAAACTGAAGAGCAAGCCTGCATCTCAGTTGAAAGGGCTGCTGCCAGGCTCGCAGAAGGAGCCTCAGGGCAGCCACAAGAACCAGACAGCGACGACGACTGAAAATATGGCCCCATAAAGCAATGGTCGCTCGAGCATCTGAGGAAAACAACAATGCAGAATGCGTTGGTGACACACTCAGCAATGAAGAGCCACGCTTCGGCAAACAAGGCGCAGGCGGCACCCCAACGTAGGCAGAGCTGCGCACAGCCGACAAGGCAGACAAACAAGGCAGAGCGTGGTGAAGCAGACCGAACCTGGAAGTCGCCCAGAGTCACCGCGGGAAGCGCCTGACAAAGAAGTTGCGCGCAACCGCTCAAAGGCATGCCAGAAGAAAAGAGCAGCTCAAAAGCAGCCGACTGCAAGCAGTGCCAGCGGACACCTTTTGCAAGCACGGTCGCTAGGTGAGCAGAAGGAGGATGATCCTCGCGGCTCTAGACTGCAGAAGGCGCCAGACCTTATCTGACAGCCGCAGTCTTGAGCAAAAAGAATAGACAGGCAACCAGCATCAGAAGCCCAGCGGGATACGGCAGTAATCACAGGTAAGATAACAGCAGAAGCGTTGGCGGGCGCTGATGACGGTGCGAAGAAGAGTCTGCCAGGAAGGCACGGCGACGCTTTCCGAGTCCGTCCAGGAGTCCAGGAGACAGTTTTCACAGAAATGCTCACTGTGTCCATGTTCCCTGTGGCAGACAAGACGTAAGCAGAGATTTAAACATGCGCAGCTGTCACCTCTATCGGCTCCATCCCTGTAAACAGGACAGAGTTGGGCGCAGAAACCGTGCAGTGTTCAATGCTGCAGAGGCTCAGGAACGCAGAAACATCTCCGCATACGGCCAGTACGACCCACCCTTCCGCTGTACTCCGGGGTCCCTCAGATTCTGTCTTCAGCATCTGAGCAGAGAGGCTCGCAAAACGCCCGGTCATCATGCCCGTGCTGCTGCAGGGTAGGCAGGACAACTTCAGGGGCTTCAGTCTTGCGCCACCTTCCAGCCACGCGGCGGCTCAGCAGAGGGCATCCCCGGTTGGCGGCAGGAACTGGTAGTCCCTGAAGCTGCTGGCTCGGCACCGTTAGGAGCAGACGGCCCAGGGTCAGCAGCTGAAGCAGCAGCAGGCGCAGCGCTGACGGGTGGGCCAGTCGAAGACAACAAAAAGTGTCTCGTCTTGCAGACGGCGCAGACAATTCGTGCTGAGCTTTGACAGAGCGCGGTACAGAGTTGAACCGCTCACGCTGTCCATCTCCCTTGCCATGGCCTCTACAGCAAGCAGAAAGTCTGCAGAGTCCGGGCTGACACCGACGAGCGAACGGAGAGCCATGCTGCCGCAAGTAGGCAGTAGAAGGGAGAGCGCGAATCCAGAACGCTACGTCACAAAAGCGCTGCTTGCGCGACGCTCTTAAATCGATCAGCGAGACCAACTCGAGACCTGATGCACAAGCACTCAGAGCTGTCAGCGTGACAAGCTGAGGCAGAAGCAAAAGGCTTGAAGTCCTGGCCACCGTGCCCGAGCGGGGTAGCAGCAGGAACGGAGCCCTTGCCAGCAAGAAAGAACTGAGCCCCACTCACAGTAGGACCAGTCATGAAGCCGGGGATCTGACAGACAAGTCAGAAAGCCCAAGCAGAACTAGACAGATGAGGCAGAGCCTGCCAGTCAGAAAGGGGGAGGCAGGCGCGGTCAATCAGAGGCAGGCCACAGATGGCAAATCTTGCGGAGGTGGCAGGTGAGCAGGTGACCGACCCTCAGAAGCAATGGCTGCAGCAAGCATGTACAGAACTCTACCTGGAGGAGCAGAGAACAGAAAATCTGCAACGCTGTTGCTGCAGCCGAAATGGCTTTAGCACAACAGCATTTCCGTTGCGTCCAGGGCAGAAACAAATTGGATTAATACTCCTAATCATGTCTTGGGGTCTTCCCTTCAGGCCAAAAAATGTTGCTCGTGGCGGCACTGGCTAGTAGGGTGAGACCTATAGCGGTGTTCGACGACTTCAGCTTGCACAAGTGTTCATCAGTCTATGGCTTGTCAAACGCCGTAGCTGGCAGCGTCCACACTTCTAAGTGGAAAGGAAGCTCGGCGATCAACGCGTTCTCCAACGCCGCGGTGTAGCCCGTCACCTCGCTTGGCGAGCCCTTCCGGGCTCATAGCCTCAGCCTGCGTCAAACTGCCTACTTATGGTGGACACGGTTTTGCCCTTTCCCTTTCCAAGCGCCCTTTCTGGACACCCATGATAGTTCATGCATCCCACGCTTGAGAAATGTCTCACCGAAGGTTCGTCACGTCTGTCAAACAACTCTTGTCTGATGTAGAAGATGCCTCTCCCATGAAGGTGGTCCAGCGCACACCATGCTATGCATGTGCCAACTGCTCTCACTCAGGGATGCAGACTGTGTTCTGAACCCAACCTTTTTTCTCCAAGCGAGATCACTGCTACAGCTCTGAAATAACTCCCATGACCAACTGAGCGGCACGCTCCGAAACAATTCAACCGTGGCAATCATGGGCTCGAAAATCGAGGCCCGCTGACTCAAGACTTGTTGTAGCAATCTGAGCTCAGATTGAACACCGCGGCACGCAAAGTGAGATCGACCTATTCTTTTGTCTTGCTGGTGACCTGCTGGAGTATGTAGCCTTCATGTACTCCACCACCACACAGAAACGACTAAGGCTTCTGCGGATGTAGTTGGAGTACTTGAAAGATTTGACCTTTCCATCTGCTATGCCGGCTTCCTTGGCATAGTGCTCAACCAGGGCTTGGCAATCACTTTCTGCTGGCCTCCCGCCGCTGCACTGCCAAATCAGGAGCCGCACTTGCGCCCGTTGCTGGTTGAAATCACCCAGAGCTCTTTCAAGTCGCTCAACACATCACTTATCTGCTTCGAAGGGCTCTTCCTGATGAGCTCATTATCCAAGCTCCGTTGAAACATTGATTCTTCACGCTTGGAGCGCTTGGTATCTCTGCTAGGTGGAGCTCATCCATATCCCCCATTCCTCTTCTGGTGTCACTGCTCAACCCACGTGGCTGGGATTGGGCAATGCAAGCATTAGGGACTGCAGAGGTACTCTGCGGTGGGGCACTTCAGGGGTACTCTTCGGTTGCAAGGATACTCTGCGGTTGGCCACTGCAAGGAAACACTGAAGGGATACCCTTCGGTTCGGCACTGCACGAATGTTCTGCGGTTGAGCACTACGCTTATTGATGTTCTGCGCTTGGGCACTGCAAGGATGCTCCGCGGTTGGGTAGCCCAGGGATGCACGGCGGTTGGTTCCTTTGCGGTTGGGCATGACACGAGGGGAGGAGAATATTAGCCTTTTTCAATCTAATAACTCCACCGTGAGGGTGGGAATAAAAACCACGCAACATCACACCACTTTAAGTAGAGGTAAGTAACTTACCTCTGCTATGGACGCAGCTGCGCACCTTGCCGGCCAAGGGAATTAGCAATTCATGCTCAAGATGAACACAAACGTGTGCACGGCGAGAAGAAAGGGGGGGGAGTGCACCCATGACTACTGGCTGACTAGACCATCATATCCGACCACAAAAGTAGGCAGGTCGCAGCTGCCCACCAACAATAACGCTCGCACTCCTTGTAATTGCAAATTCGGCCACAGATATGTGCAAATGCTCTGCCGCATCCGAACAGAGCAAGCGGCACATGTGCTCACCCTGAGTCCCGCCCGGGCATCAATTTCATGAAGCAAATACAAAGAATAGATGTGGTGGCCATGCAATTGCCCTTAATTGCCGACACATGAGGACGAAGTGCTGGGGTTTCTCGTGTCATGGTCTGATCATTGAGAACCAGGCCGCAAAGAAGTCCTCTGCATCCAAACTTTGGCTCTCTATGTCTCCACTCTGCCTTTGCAGGTTCGTTGGGAATGACAGCATGGAGGCTCCGTTCACAATTCAGAGAGTCTAACGATGAACGCCGGAGCGCCATGGCGCGACAAGACTCTATGAAACACTCTCAACAATGCTCAGGCTTTCATGTGAGTAGTGCGTAGAAAGCCCAACAACTGCTCATTGTAGGTCACTGCTGATGATCACCGAACTCTAGCTCCCCAACAACGTCATGAGCTAGACTTTCTCTACGAGCCAGACATCCTCAACTATATCACTAACACGCCTGTTCTAGCGGAGCCGTGAGTGAGCCTGCGCAACTCCCAAGTGGCCGCAAGCATCCTTTGAATCCATCAGACCAAGCTTCGTTTGAGATCTATGTACAAGTCGAGGCTGGAAGCTGTCCAGCTGGAAGCTGCTCTGCTTCTCTGACTAGCTACCCTCGTTGTCCCTCAGTGTCTCTGAGTGCCTAAGAGTCTTGCATAGCCTTCAGCTGTCTTCGCCCATGCTTGCGGCCACCTTTTTCAGATTAGGAGCTGATGCTGCCACAGCAGTCCACGCTGCATCCGGTGCTAGCCTGTTGCACGTTCTGCCTCTCCCCCAACCACTGTTGCCTTTCGGCCCATCCTCTCTGGCCTGTTTTGCGCGAGAGCTCTAACACGGCCAGCATCAACGTTGTTTCACAAAACCTCGTCAAGTATTCTCGCAGTTGAGCAGGAGGGGTCGCACCCACCTGGCGACAAGAATTGTTAGTACCAGCCAGCCCTCCCCTTCCTTGCGCTGCCCTGCCGTCTCCGAGGCATCCTTTGTAGGCATGGGCACTCCTTGCAGCTGCAATGACTCGGCCTGGACCCTGATAGGCCTCGCTTGTGTCCTTCAACACCCTCTGCTTGCTGGCGCGACCTTACCAGAGTCAGAGTAACCGTCAATTCGAAACCCTTTGCCCGCAGCACTTATCAGGGCTCTAACCAAAGAGTCCACAGGTCTGCCGAATCTGATGTAGCAGCATCCTCCGGCCTTGAGGCTTGCAAACAATTTGCTGCCTCCTTAAGCTCAAAAATGTCAATCTGTCCAGGCGCCTGGCTCAAAAGACTTTGATGGCATTTTGGTTACCAGCGTCGGCTGAGCTGCACCAGAATTAGATACAGCGGCTCCCTGCGCTGGTTCCTCTCCGCGGGCTTGCCAGCAACTTCAGGTTGACAACACCGGCAGCCAAAGGCGGAAAGCAATGCATACAAACAAAAGACCGACCACCCAATTGATAGATAGAAAGCGCGTTATCAATCGAGTGAGTTGGGTGGGAAGTGGGCTAGTCTGTCGGTATTGAGTACGGGGGGGCAGGTGCAGCAACGCGAGCAAGAGCGATAGCTGGCTAATGGACATGAAGTAGGTCAAGCCTCGGACAACTTTCGCAGCAGGCTTTCAGCAGATGCTTCGGAAGGGTCATCCGCTGGGGAGTACGCCTAGCCAGCATACTACTCTGCACAAAGAAGAACCGGGTTGCAATATGATGGCACTTTGGTCACCTGCATCTGGAGCTTTCGCCGCAAGCTGCGCAGAAGCGCGTCTGTTGAACCGTCCAATCTTGAACAGCAAATTGTCACGTTCATGATTTTCTACATTCTGAAATGCTCCTCCTGAGCTGGGAACGCCTCAAGCTGTTGTAGGCCTGCCTGTACGGCATCCACCTCACACAGCTGCGGAAGCAATTGGGGATCTGCCAAAGTCTGGAAGCTTCGGAATGGAGCACGGACCTCCTGTAGAGTTAGCTCTTCCGACAGTGCTCGTACATGTTTGATGCCTCATCTGGACAAGTGTTCTTGTTCATCAAATCAACCAACATGGGACACTGACATGCTCGGACCAGCTTCTTGTTGTTGATCTGCAACCTAAGGCCAGGTATAGACAAACTGAAACTTTTTGAGTCAGCGCTGCTTTCCTCACTGCAATCCTCTGCTTGGTGCCTGGCTTGCCAAAGGACTGTAAGGTCATGCCGACACCTTGACCTGCGCTGCTGGCTGCCAGCACGCAGCTTCTGGAAATATGCTGTCACAAGCTGGGCTTCCTGCCAGAAAAAAGCGGCATCTTCTGCGCAATCTCTTCTGCAAGGAGATAGAACAAGATTTCGGAGCCTCGGGCAAACGGACACCAAACAGCCGAAAAGCCTCTCGAACTAAGACTGGCTTTTGAGGTAGGCGTCAGGCGCACCTCAATCTTTGCGAATCCGTGTGCTGTCAATGCTAGTGCCTTAGGTTGAATATGTGCATTCTGTGCTAACAATCTGCAGAGCCAGGCGCCTGCGGCGTGAACTGCGGCAGCTGCGGCCTTTGTGATCTTCTTTGACTGAGACTCGATCATAGGTTGGACATATTCGATGGTTGGTTCTGCGGTCAATGCTCTCACTGTGACATCACAGCGTCAAGTTACAAGTTGTAATTACGGGGTGGGCAGAAGATGCGATGCTCACTGGGCACGAAGCGGTAATGCAACAGCAAGTGCAAGGATCACTGCCAATGCAAGACCCAAGCGCGATTGCTTTGGCAACTTGTGTGAGGAGCCGCACCTGAAGCAAGGCTTCATCAGCGGAGGTGCGCTTAGAGAGAGCAGACCAGGATCATCACATCTCTCTGTTGCAACCTTGAGCAGGAGTGTACCAAGAGGCACAAAGACCTCTCGAGCCGGCAACATCGGCAATACTTTGCAGTACCTTACAAAGCAGTCCTGAGGCACTCGCTGGGCTGGAAACTCTGAGAGTCTTTGGCCAACATTTTGAAGAATGCCCTCCCGCATCAGCAATTCATGGTGGAAAAGCGAGTCTTGTAGACATGCCTCTGTGAGGTCTGCTGACTGCAGCGTTTTCCACCTGACACGCTGAACAAATCTAAGGAGATTCTGTGAAAGCTATGGCACTTGGTCAGAACCTGGCAGATGCATGAAGAAGTTGCATCAGCCCGGCCGGCCCAAGATTGCCCAGCCTCTGGTCTCGAAATCAGTAAGAATAGAACAAGATGCAGCGTGCTCTCAGGACCGGGCCCAGCCAAAACGTGCTTAGCCAATGTTGCGACAGCCTCTACTGCCTTCCGACCCCGTTCAAGTCTTGCTCACAAGTGCTGAAATCGAGGCCGACTCCGTGCCTCGACATCCGGAGGCTGTGGTCGCCGGAGTCTGCCCTGGCCAGTTGCACTTTAACACTGTCAGGACACAGCCTCCAGCGTCCAAAGCATCCAAGAGTCCAAAGCATTGAAGACGAGACCTAATTTCATAGTCTCGTATTTGCCAACAACAGACCAAAACAAGCAAATGCCTGCGTGTGAGGTCTTGGCTGAGCGTTTCGGGAGTTGCTTCGGAGAGAAGTGGCTCCTGCAATTGTCACTTATTTCCACCTTCGAACCTGCAGCGCAAGCAACAGATTAGATGCATGACAGTCGTGACGCCTCTGCCAGGGCCAGAAGGAGAGTTCGCACAAGTGCCTGGGAATGGAAAGGCAGAAAACTACCCTGGATCGTCTTGATAGCGCACACCGCGCCTCATCATGGAAATCAACAGCACTCAGGGCGTTCAGCACTGTCCCAACATCCTGATGGCCAAGCAGAACTGTTGTTTGCTCAGGGAACAGGGTGAAAGGGACCAGTTCGTCCTGAGCTCGAAAGTCCAGGTGTGCTTGCAGTAACCTCGGCTTGGCTATCTACTGTGTTTGCTCTTTCATGATCTTTCTGCTTCTCTTTTGGCTTGGCCGCCACTCGGTAAGAACCGGCCACAAGCGGCGGTGCCCTGCAAGATAGCGGCTCACTGCTTAATTAGCAGCTAGCAGCCTCATCACACCGAACTCTTAGCATCACACGAATCTTGAAGTGAGCAAAGGCGTTGGCTATCAACAGCAACGTTACCTGGAAAAGTGCAGCTTTCAATGTCGGCCGCGCTCAGAGCGCTACTTGATACTGCTGGAAGAGGCATTCTTCGCACACAGGTCTCCAAGGCAGACGCATGATTCAGCTCATGTGGTCGGCGAAGAACCTATGCACGGCATGGTGGCGGGGAGATGGGAGGCAGGGCGCAAGGCTGCCTCGTCCGCGATGTCATCGAGCAGAAGTTCATCTCGAATGTCCAGACGCGCGTAGGCATTGGCAACCTTCAGCGCTTGAAGCCACAAGAAAAAAGCATCCCAGGCTCACACGGGCTTCCGACCACCCCTAGCTGGTAGCCTTCAAAAAGAGGCAGTTTGTGTGGCCTTGTCAGCTGCTTCTGTCAAAAAGACTGTTCTGTAGAAGACTGGGAATGGGGCATCTCAGTTGCCATACGTCGAAACAGCACCTGCAGCAATCAAAGGAGACACGTCTGAAACTTCTCTTCAAACATCTTGATAGCTGGTCTTGGCATGTCATGGCATGTCCGCCAAAGTTGTCAGACACCGCATCAAAGAATTAAAAGAGCGTCCCAGAATACAGAAGCTTTCACACAGAGTAAGTTAAGGAAAGCTCGGGCCTCATCACGCTCCCGTAGCTTTGCGTAAGCACCGCAAGCTCGACCGATGTCAGCAGGCACAAACCTCTCCAAGCCAAGGCATGAGACAATGGAAGCATTTATTGGCTTCCGTGATGCGTTGAAGCTTAGACAACTGGCTCCAAGCTCCATGCTGTGGTAGGCGAGGCATCATGCGCTTGCTGAACGTCTTGAACATCTGCCCGGACATCCGCATGCAGAAGGTTGCAAACACTGACTGTGGGGCGCGGGTTGTTTCTTTTCGATTTACATGATAGCTTGCCCATCTCCACCCCGACCTGCCCCATCCCTGTGACTCTTGTTTTTTTTTGGCACGAGAAATTCGACAACTTCAGGCAGCGCAACACCTCCCATCCGACCGCAACACTCGCGGAGGCTTGCGAAACCTTGCACTTGCTGCCCGCATAATGCTTGCCAGGCGCTAGGGGACATGAGTTCGAAAAATCCACGTCAACTCACAAAAAAAAAAAAAAAAACTTAAACTGCGAATTTAGGAAACACACACTCAATCTTCTCCCTCTGGAAGGAGCTTGGCGAAGTTGTGCGTCCTGATCGATTCTGTGCAGGTACCGATGCTCGGCCATGAAGCTGTGCTAAGACTCTGTTAGATCAAATTCTCCGACCATCGACCTGGTGCGCTGCACCAACATGCAATCCAAGGCTTTGTGCAACAGCATAAGTCCCATCATGTTCCGTGAACATTCCACCCGAATGGCAATAGACACCTTGGGAAGAACTGCATGTATGACAGAAGGGAGCTTTGCACCGAAAGGACTGGAAACAAAACCCTCAGCCACGCATGGCTGATTCGCATACTGCTACTGTTGCGGCTGCGGTTCACAAACGGGACAGGAAGCCAAAACCACCTGGCTTGCTGGCCTTGTCATGCCGATGGGATGCCCGAGCAAATGCATTGAGAATGAGCCCGAACCTGTGGCAAAGGACAAGGGTTGCAAGATGTTGCAAGCGCTCCGTAGCATGCCTTAGCCGTTAGCCATTGACATGAAGGTCACTTGGCTCGTCACTGGTTCGGCTGCAGCTGCGCAGCAAGCTCCTCGGCCCTCTGCGCATATCTGTCCAACCTCGCTATGTTGGCACCGATTCGTCCAACAGACTTCGCGAACATGTCTCCTGCAACCACGTCACAGTTCCGGCATGTGCAGGCCAAATGCCTAAGCAAAGAAGACACCATCCGGTGCAACAGCAGCTTCGCACATCTTCACACGCACAGACACACACCCAGGTTGCTGCCACCAAGCGGGTGCAGTACCGCGTCAGGTTCTCTGTCTTAAGAACCTGGCGTGTTGCTTCAGCAAAATGATTGCTGCGGGCAGCTTCATCTCACCTCGGGTGTGTACATCTGAGATTCGATGATTGGCTGCGCTGCCGTCTCAAAGGCCTGACAGTGCAGCCAGATGCCGCAAGTGCTGCTTTCTGCATCTCTTTCACTGCTCACTTCATGCGCCCCGCATGTCAAGCCTCACGATGAGGCCTCTGCTTCTGTTTGTCATAGATTCTTTGCACCTTGCTAAACATGTCTGCTGCAGAACGTCACGAACGCATGAAAAGCGGTTCACTTGCATGACGCGAAGCTTGGGTCAAAACGGACTTCTTGCCCTGCCCAGCTCAAAGGCTGAAGAGGCCAAGCATGCGGCTGTGGATGTGAAATCGTGACAACATGCTGTCCTTGACATTGTATGAAAAGTTGCGCGCTTTGCCAGAACGAAGCCTGCACATGTGGAAGTGTTGCTGAAGTTTCTGGCCAGGATGATGCTTCCCAAAGCTTGCCTCTCTGCTGCAATTCGGACCGCCGCTCCGCAGCCTAGGGGCAATGTTTAGTTGAAGCCAGATGAACTGGCACGAAACAAATGCTCTTATCTAAAACTGGGCATCCGCTCTCTATGCGCCTACATCCTGTAGTGCTGTACACATTCCCTTTCATGTCAGCTTTGGAGACTTGAAACGCCAACTGCAACGACATGCTGGTGCCTTGGATCCATGACGCATTTTGCACTTTGTTTTGTGGAATTCACTCAAGTCATGCATCGAAGGGTTTGGACAGCATCTGCTCATCTCTGCATGTTGTGGCTCAGATCCCCTTGCTACTTCGACATTCCGTTCGATCCTTCTCATTGTGCGTGCCTTGGTAGTGGTTGCATCTGTGCCGTACATCCCAGCCTATCAATTTAGATGCGCATCAATGAATATAGTCTACGAAGATTTGAAGAAAGCATGTTTGTTGATTGGTGGACTTCGCGCAGCTTTCACCCAACCTTTTCTCCACGCGGCTTGCTCCTTTCTACACGCTCATTTCCGATCCTGTCACACTGCATTTATCCTCTCCCCCAATTTCATAGCCCTAAAAGGTAAGCCCTGCTCCCAGCGCCAAAGCATGGCGGCACTTCTTCACATGATGCGTTCGTTGCACGGGCTTTTGTTGAGTTGCATCGGCGTGGTTTCGCTGCAGTCTGACTGTGATGCCAAGGCACAATGCAGCCGAAGCATTGCTTACCTTTCTGCCCACAATACATCGAGCCCCACATTGCCAACAATGGCCCAGCTCTATGCTCAGCTCATGCGTGATGCGAAGGGGGACAGGCATCAACATCTGCAGGGTCGCTACATCTGAAGTAATCTGCAATGGTGTCAGGCTGTGAATTGAGGAGGAGGTACACGGCAACGATTTTGTACGCATGTGCAACCGCTACATCTGAAGCTGAGATGCGGTTACAAGGGGTGTACTTCACAGCAACGGCTCATAGCGTGATGTCTCTGCAAAGCAGTGTAGACGCCTAGCTTTCAAGGGTGTACAGCGAAATTGCGGACCTTTTTGACAAACATGCTGTGAGTCTTCACACGTACCGCCTTCTGCACAGAAGCCTCCACACCTGCGGTGGAAAGCCGGTCTGAGTTTGAAAATGTGTCTGGGATGGGAAGGGTCTGACATTGGAGCCCAAATATGGCCCGGCTCATCACTTCTGGACCCAGGTTTTCGGGTCTGAACAAGGGGGTTGGACCACCCCCCCCGAACTTAAAGGGGCACTGATAAAGACTTGTAAAACTAATGACTGCGGAGTTTATTGTTTTCATTGTAACGGATGTCCAAATTCAAGGGGAAATCCCATCAAGCTCCCTATTCCTCCAACCGTTCATCTGAATCGTGATAAGCAAAACTTTGCTCGGGCCTCGATTTTGCTTGCATTGATTCTACAGCATGTTTTTGGCCGGCCCTCAAGCACATGCGGACCGCAGAAGCAGGCGATCGCAGCGAAGATTGCCACACAGCAACAGTCCCACTTTCCATCATGCCTCTGCCACAGCTTGAGCAAGGAAAGGTTGGTGCCTTAGAAGCTTTGCAGCTGACAACTATGCTTCACTTTGATCCGTGAGTGGCAATCGAGGACCTGGCTGAGATTGAAGCAGCGACAAGCGCCGCTCGACCTCAGCAAGGCCGCTGAAGGACTTGGGTCGGGCTTACACCACGACAAATTGAAGAGCCTCCGAACGAGTTGCTGCCTCTACCTTACAGTCTCACAGTATGCAAATCTCCCAAGCTGCGCAACCAGAGCGAGCGTTCAAGGTAATTGAGGACTAGGCAGTGCCACTGATTGCAATATCATCTTCAAACATTGCAGTGCTTGTGGCTGCTCCACGTTCCTCGTACGCCTATGCGGCGCGGAAGAAGCATGCTCAAAGAAAATGAGGCAAATGGCAGGTCAATTCAGCAGGGCTCCTGGAAAGGCCGATCCACACTCTCTCGCACGCTGAAACGCCGAGGATACTGCCGGCGCATTGACTTCAACCAGCAAGACAACTGTCAAAGACAGCGCAGAACCCTCACCTCTCCAAAGGACCTGGCAGTCTGCTTTAGTTGGACTTGACTCGCGCTAGTAGACCCAACTTATCGCGGACTAAACTTCAAGCTTGGCTCTCATTACCAGCGAAACATGTCGGCACTACGGCACCATTGCAAAGGCTGCTAGCTTTGGTCAGGTCTAACTTGGAAAGTTTATCAAGTGATGAGGTGTTGTGTTTATCATGGTGGTTTTGAAACCATGTCAACTGCAGGCTGGTTTGGCTTCGGGAAGGAACACACAAATGAATAGTCGTACATGACACACAGGAAGCACCGCACAACGCTGCTGGCATACCAGATTTTGGCGACAGTCAACCTTTTTGACGTCACCATCCAGTAATCCATCACGCCCTGAACAGTGCACGGACAATGAAATGCAAACGTTCTAGAAGGGCTAGCAAGTGCCGAGTCGCGTGCAATCAATTCAAGAAGTTCTCGCTGGATTCGTTTGCTTCTTCTTCGCTGAAGGAGCACGCCCAGGCAAACTCAGCTTTGTTCATGGCTTGGGAGGTGCAGCTGCTGCGGTGGCTGTCGAGGTCTGCACCATGCCCGCAGAGAGGAAGAGCAGCACAGCACCTATGCCTTTGCACGGGGACAGCTAAAACCTGCCAGGCTTGGAAAGAGGAGAAGCCAGGCCGCAAGCAGCCCAGCACCAAGCCAAGTTGTTGCATGGGAGCGTCCTAAGCAAACTGAAAATGCCTGCGTTGCATCATCAAAGCCTGAGCAGTCCTGTTGAAGGTGTTCTTCAACGGGACTGTCCATGCCTCATCATTACTTGTCACGAAAATGCCCGATACATGTTTTAACTTCTACGGCTGCAGCATGCCACCTGAAAACGGTTCCACCACAACTTGGGCGGAATGGTGGTGCTGTGGACCTCTGCAAGGCAGCCAGTCACCACCTCCCTTGCCCTTACTTTGCAGGCCCCAGGCAGTTCGCATCTTCCACCCCAAGCTTTGAGGAGGTGGTGTCAAAGATGAGTGTCTTCGACATGAAAAAGGAGACCTGGCATACAGATGTGTCCATGAGGCAGGATGTAGCTCAACCGAAAAAGACAAAGGTGATGAGTCTTAAGAACTGAAGGACTAAGGACATGATCGCATCCCTGACTGAGGCCGAACGCATGTGGCCCATGAATAACAAGCAGCAACCAGCACCTTTGTCTGCCTTTTAGTTACTCTTATCCAACACCTGAAACAAGCCACTGCGACCCCTAGCACAGTCTCCTTGGAAAATCCGTTGCTGGTAAAAGCCAAGCACCTGCCATACTGACTGTCTGCAGCAGTCACTTCATCCAACAGGCTGCAACGTGCCAGCGACACCAGGCTTCGAAACCCTCCGTGGCACGCATGCCACGTCGAAATAGATAGGACTTTGCAGGCCAGCCTTAACCGTTTATTGGGATGATACTTGATCCGGAAAGCAGGAGTAGCTAGGAGATCAAAAGTGAAATGAGCAAGGTCGCGAGGGGAGGATCCGCACTGAGGCCCTGAGGCACAAGCTGACTGAAACGTCAGCTTTCCCGCTCCCACCGCCAAACGTCTGCACGACGGAGCGCTTGCTAGCATAAAAGGCTTTCAGGGAGTCTCTCATGAGTCGCAAAGAGGGCGCACCAGCATGACGGGTGCGAACTTGTCTGGGCCTTGTGCACAAACGCTTTGTTGCATCATCTCCCTTTGCAAGCCCAGCAGCAGATACTTGGGATCCGGCTGCTTCCTATAGGCAACAGCCAGCAATCGTTTCCTGCTCCAAGTGGCAAAGCACAACTCTGCACCTCACACCAACACGAGTAAAGTTTGGAGCAGATCAGTCCTACCGGCTTTGCCCCACATCGTAAACCTGCGGTGCAAAAGGCAGGTGTAAGCAGACGAGCCTTTTAACACACACGTCAAATCTGAATCGCAACTGCCCATGGCATCCCTCTATCACCGAGCACCGTTGAATGACAAACAGCGTGTGGCTTTGAAGACAGCCTATTCATGAAGACTCCCTGCATGATTGATCCTAAATTGTACAGCGCACATAGAATAATCAACCACCGCTCCGACTATTCTTAAGCAACCTTGCATACAAATGAAGTCTAAGTAAGCCCAGCCCAGAACCCTTGGCTCTAGAATCTCAGCTAAGTGGGCTTGGCTCGTCCATTCCAGGTTTTAGCACAGCTTGCATCGGTTGCAGCCAATGCGGCAGCCATAGGACGAAGTAGCCCTGAGCGCCTTCACATGCTTCTTTGATAGCTTGGCGCAAGGTATCATACACCTCGGCATTTGACAAAAGTTGCAGGGTTTGGCCGCAAAAGCCCCCCCAACAGAGCGCACAGGTACGCCCAACCTTGGCGGGGAAGTACGTGAAGGTCGTGCCGCTGTCCACCACAGCCCGTCCTGTGAATTCCTGCCCGTCAAATCATCATCTTGCGGGAGCCTAACATGCCCTTAGCCCGCCTCCGGACCACCCACAGCATGCATTCCAAACCTGCCGAGACAAGTGGCGGTGAGGTTGCCCTTTCCTTTGCACTGCAACCACTGCAGGGCTAAAGCACGCACTTCAGCAGTTCTTGAGCAGGCTTAACACGCCAGCAGAGCGTAACAGCTCTCAACTCCACGCCGTAGTACCTCAAGGTATAGAAAACTCGTGCAAACAAACAGACAGCTGAGGTCACGTACCCGGCATGGTGCAACTGCAGCCATTGCATGTGGCTCCCCGAGGCAGCATATCTGCCGTCATAGCCTGGGCCATGTGGTCATCCGATGCAAATGTGCTTAATCATTTAAGGCTACTCCAGTACTAGGTGTCGAACCCCCAACACTCAACTCGCCACCCCACTCTGCCAGGCAAAGGGCAAAGACCTAAAAACAACGTTCAACTTCATGGTTGCGACATGTTGCAACATCGCAGCACATCAATCTTCTGCGACCGTTTGGGACTCTCAAGGTGTTCTCTTGACGGCTCTGCAAAGAAAACCTCCCTCCGCGCAAGCTTGCTCGGAAATGGGCGTGCTCGCGCAAACGCGTTTAATGTTGGGAACTGGATCCCAGTGTGTGATTCACCTATGGCTTCCTAAATTGTTCTCTGCTGGCCAGGTCGCGGTTGCAACGGAAACCAGAATGCTTCATTGATTGCAGGACTAACCGAATAAGCTGTCTGAAGACACGATGAAGGACATGTTTGACTCGGATTTTGATGGAAAGTCCACTTGAAAATTCTTCGTCATGGTCTGATCAATGAAAAAAATCCTCAAAGTACTTCCGCGGCCGCCTTGCATGGCTACCGAAGGAGATGCTACAACAGAAGCACATTAGTGGTGGCAAATGGGTGCAAATTTTCGTGCATTGTGTTTTTCTACGCCTGCGAGTCACATCATTATTTTTGACGGGCGGGCTGTTCCAAAGGGTCGCCATCCTGTTAACTGTAGTCGTTTTTGGACCCTCATGTCACCCTCGCGTGTCAAAAGCATCAACGGCCACAGGCATCGGGCCGCTGACAGTCGCCATGCTTGTAACTTTGGCTTTTGCCAGTTGTGCCATCGTCGCGCGCCAGAGGTGTCAACAGTCACAACCTGGGGGTCGCCATTCTCATAAGTGTCGTCCGTGTGTGATTGTTGAAAGATCTGTACGATTTTTAGCGAGCGACACTAGATCAATCATGGATTTCCAACGTGAACATATCCCAATACCTCCAGTTAAGAACTGCCTTCACATGGCCTCCACATGGCCTACAGGAGGCCACTGCGGCTACTGATGCTTCGAGAATCCCCACCCTGAAGCCATTGTTGCACAAGAAATGCAACGTCTCCCTGCCCCCCTAAACTGTCTTCCTTGCAGCACTGCAAATTCTCTGCAAGAATATTGCAGTTTGGCACTGCAGAGGCAAATGCTGTGGGGTTCGGTATTGCGAGGGCTGGGCACGACAAGGACACTTTACGTTGCCATGGGCACTGCAGGGATACTCTGCTGTTGGACGCTGCAGGAAAGGCACTGCAGGAATACTCTGCGGTTGAGCAGGATACTCTGGGTTTGGGCACTGCAGGGATACTCTGCGGTCGCACACTGCAGGGATACGTTGCCATTGAGCACTGCAAGGATACTTGGCTGTTGGGCACGTTGGGCACTGCAGGCATACTTTGACATTGCCCTTGGGCACTGCAGGGATACGTTGCGGTTGGGCACTTCAGGGATACTCATCGATTGGGCACCGCAGGGATACTCTGCGGTTGGGCACTGCAAGGATACTCAGCGGTTGGGCACTGCAGGGATACGTTACCATTGAGCACTGCAGTGAGGCTCCGCGCGGATGGCGAGGACAACATAGACTTTTAAATCTAATAACCCCACGAATACCATGAGTCGCCTAGTCATGGGGAAACCTTCACATAAAGCAGCGTGTCCAGATGATACCCTTCTATTTATAAAGCCTGTAGAAGTGAAAGACTTGAGAATCAGATAGGCAGCCATGCAGGAAAACGAGGTGAATACTCTGCCGATGTCTCTATGCAGGTCAATTTAACTTCTGAGCCCTTGGAGGAGATTAATAGGATTTCCTCCCATCCCTTCAATTGAATGTCGTGGGTGTAGGAGAATGTGCGTTCTGTATGAGATGTATTATGTACGGTATGTATATGCAGAACAAGTTGTGTACAGTGATCTGCATTGACAGCGGCAGGCCTTGTATGGCTAGGGAGCCTATGTGACTGAAAAGGTGGTCAGGCAGGCGAGCATACTCTGTGAGAATATCTCATGCAAGCTTTACAAGTCAGAGCGAATTTGATCGAAGGGTCGATCTCCTTCGGCGGGCCTGAGAATCCAATGACATGAAAATTGTTCTTGAAACCAGTGCAGGTGCTGCGAAAATGAGACCTTCAAATTCCTCTCCACTCTCTCGAAAACCACGGGCCCTCTTTCTCTGGAGGGAATGGAAAGCAGCCTCCCAATATTTTTTGTGGAAGGACCCCACTGTCTCTCTGAAGTTCCCCCCTCTCTTGCTGTGGGGATGCAAGGAGAGAGTCCTCCCCATTTTTAGATGGAAGGAATGGACGACAGTCCTCACCATTCTTTTTGGACAGACTCCTTTCCGTTCCCAGGAAAGTCCTCCCCACTGTTCGTCTAGAAGGAGCCCAGGAAAGCTCTGCCCTTTTTCAATGGAAGGAATCCTATGTGGCAGGAAAGGTAGTCCCCCGACTACCTCTTGGGGAAGCAGCCCATTGTCTCTCCTGAGAAAAGAGAGGAGAGTCCTTCCACTCTTTCTGTGGAACGAAGCCAGGCGAATGCCCCCAAATTATTTCTGGAAAGAGGTGAGAAGAGTCTGCATTCTTGGAAGGAGCCAAGGATAATCCTCCCCACTCTTTCTCCGGAAAGAATGGAGGAAATTTCTCTCTTATCTCTCTGTGGAAAGAATGGAGGGGAATCCCCTCCGCTCTGAGTCCTCCCCAGTCTTCCCAGGAGAGTATTTCTGTTGGTTCTCCGAACGAAGTGGAACAGAGTCCCTTCCCACAATCCTCCCCACTCTTTACACGGAAGGTGCCAAGCAAAGCCCTCTCGACTCTTTCTTTGCAGGGAATGGAGGGAAGTGGTGGTCAGGATGCCCCCCCCAGATCTTCATCCCAGAACTTCATGCAAGAACACTGTGAAAATGGGGGGGGAGGGGGCCCCCAGCGTTCCACCCTGCAGATATAACAGTGATGACATTCAGAAAGCCCGAAAAATGCAATAATAACATTGCTTTGATATTGGTATAAAAGCGAGATATATGTGTGTAACATGGACATGAGAGTCAAGACGAGGGTTGGCAAGCGGGCATTTGTTAAGAATGATGACAACTGATGAAAGTTGAGGTAAAAGGTCGCGCATGAAGACAATGATGCAACATCCTGAAACACGATGAATATGACAAAAATGATGCCAGATGATGATTACGGGTTTAAGAAGTGGAAGCGCCGATGCTGAACAACTATGAAATATCATGAACATAACAGAATATCACGAAACATGACGAAAATGTTGAAAATGATCAGAAATTGCGAGAAAACGTGAAAATGATGAAGTATCACGACATGGCTTGCACGCATTTGCAAAACTTGGACGAAGATTACACATGTGCTTCCTTATGATGATCTGGCCATGGCAAGAGGGAGTACTACTAAGAACGAGAACAGAAAGGATAACATTTCAAACGTTAGCACGTTGCGCTTGCAACCTTCGGAAAGCGATGACAACTGATGAAAATGATGAAAATGATGAAAATGATGAAAATGATGAAAAATGAGGAAACATGACGAAACCTGATGAAAATTTCTAAGCCATGACCGACAACCTATGAAAGAAAAATGACTAAAACATGAAAGATATGAAACTTGATGAGCACTTTAAAGAGGATGAACATAAAAGCATACGATGAACATGGTGCAAATACTGACACAGAATCGCTACTCAAAAACCATATGAAAGTGGCATGTGATGAGCAAACAGTAAACATGATGGGGTCCGATGTAAATCAATGCAAGAATGACTGAAATTAAGGGAAATGTGAAGAACAATAATTAAAAACACCAGAAAATCATACAATGACTTAAAATGTGATGGATCATGTTGCAACATGCTGAAAAAGAATGGGATATGATGTGAATGGCGACCTTCCCTCGTGCTTCCTTCCTTCCCTCCCTCCTTCCTTCCTTCGTTCTTTCCCTCGGTGGGATTCCACGAAACCGACAACGCTTCAAGAGAGAGCTCAATTTCAAGCCAGAAGCTGGGAAGCCAAAGCCGCGAAGCCAACAAGCAGGGAAGCCAAAAAGCCTTCAGGCCACTGGACAGCCCCCCCAAGAAAGCAATTTCGCATTCTCTCCCCTGGTTCTCAACCACGAGTTCGACGGAACCACTGTTCTTGACTTCCTTCACCAACGCATTGGCACGGAGCAAATCGAATACCCTGAGGTCCGGTATTCGTTTCTGTAATTGATTGACTTCGAAAGAAATGTCCAGCCTGCTCTGCATGCTAAGCCATTGAAGGCTGCCGATTATTCTGGGAAGACTCCCCATGCTCAAAGCTTATGCAACCATGGCCTGCCTTTTCTGTCCCACTGCTGGGATCCCGGAGCCGCTCTGGCATCGAGCAATCGAACACAGAGGCATTCAGATCAATCACACATGAAGCCTTTTAGCAATAATAACCATAGTAAGAATGATAAGAACAGCAGTAATTAAACAGCAACAATAATCAATGGTGGGGCCCACAAAGCTCGCAAAAGTGACGTCTTGAGAACAAGGTCAAAAGGAAGACGTTTAAGACAAGAAGGCCAGAAGCCAGGAAGCCACGAAGTTGAGAAGAAGCCGGGAAGCCGCCAACAACGAGAAGCAAAAACTGCAAGCAGCGAAAAGTCGAGAAACCAAGAGCCAGAAAGCCAAGAAGCCAAAAGACAAAAAATGGTACAAAAAAGACACCTAAAAACTAAAAAGCAATACTACTCCTCCAGGATTTCACAGCTCCAAGATTCTGTTGGTATTGAAACCCTCGATGACCCTTGCGACTTTCTGACTGCGTGCGCACATCACGCATGGTCACACGTTCAATGCCATAGCCAGACACAAGCTACTTTCCTTAGGCGAACGCTGCAGCGTTGACATGACCCTTGTCTCTGAAGAGATCCTGAGGGCGGCTGACGAGCAACTAAATGTTCACTGCATCCTCATTGCCGCCTTCAGCACATTGGACTTTCCAGTTATTCTATGCGGCGCCAAGCCCAGAATCCCGTTCACCTTCGCTCCACAGCTGCGAGAAACAGAAGCAGCTCTGATTCCGACAAAGCGACTTCCAGTTAATACTGTGTTGGTCATTATAGTCACCACTGCTCGCAATGGCACGCACGTTATGTCCCGCCTTCTGGGTGTAGAAAAGCTTCCGCCTGGGCTGGTTCAACACAGACGCCTGCAGTGCCTGCACTTTCGAAGCTTCGCAGGTTTAATCCTCATGGATAGTTACACCAAGGCCGGTCAAGTCGCATTCCTGACATTTTAGATACCTCCGGGTTTGGTACAAGGGCACGCCACACTCTCCACACACGATGTGCGCTTTGAAAAAGCAATGAGCTAAGTTCCCAACTCATCGAGGTGGCACCCCATGGATGCTTCAACGGGGTGATTGTCGGCATCCGACTGAGGCTCACATTGTGGAGCACAAATGCCAAAAGGGCTTGACAGCCACCCAGAAACAAGACAACTACTAAATTCCTTTTGCAGTGCTTCCTTTCAGTTCCCAATATAAAGGGAAGCGTATATAAACAGAGTTCTCCTGCTCCAAGAATCATGAAGTAGGCAAATGTCTGGATACTTTTTCTTGCTTCTTGAAGGACACAGTCTCGTCCCTCAAAATTTGCCCGGCACCATGGGGCTTGCCCTTCAGAGCAAAATCGCGTCCGAGACTGTCGAATCAAGCACAGACTACTGAGGCAAGTACACAACTCTTGATTATGCCACATGTCAACTACGACTCTTGGACGCAATTGCCGGAAAACTGTTGACTAGATGCACCCTTGTGCCGCAGCTGCATCCTTGCCAGCTATGTGAATGCGCTTTGAAATCCATTTCAGTCTATGTCAATGCATGGGCGGTGCGAGGAAGATTTTCTAGCTGGGCGGGTCCTTGCCAGCTCCTAGGGCTAAGCGTTCACTGCCCGCTTCGAGCTTCTTCATGTTTGCTAGGTCCTCTTCGGACACATAGTAATCCTCATCTTCATCATCTTCAACTACCTCTTCCTCAATCGGAGGAAGTTCCTTGAGCATGTGCGTGACGCCCTCAGAGTCAGTTGGGCTGACAGCAGCATAGCCTTCTGACTCGTAAAGCTTCCTTGCAGGCTCATACTCATCAATGTGCAAGTACATCTTGCTGTCCTTCCAAATGTATCTGACAACATCTTCTGCGACTCTGAGCAGGGCTCTCCCAATGCCTGATCTGCGGAATGGAGGAGCAACGCACAAATTGCTCAAGTACGGTTGTTTTGTCACCCCCTCAGGCAGGTTCCCATCATCATCCTCTGGTCGCCGACCATCATCCGCAAGAACGCACAGCTCCACATAAGCAACCAAAGGGCCCTGCTTCGCACGGGCGACAAGCGCCATGCTTTCATCCTGCTTCACTGGCCGGCGTAGAGACTGATATTGCAAAGAAACATCAAGTCGCATCTGGATGCCTTGGGCAATCTTCTGGGTCTCGTCAGCATCAATGAAGGCATTGGCATACTCTGCAAAAGGCGTTGATTCGTCCCATCGCTTTTTGGCCAACATGCGATCGAACGCATCGACCATCAAGGGAGTGATTTCTTCCAAATCGTTCGAATCTGGCATGCCAAGCTCGAGGTCTGCCTCCTCCAGACGCTGCAGCGTGTCCTTATCAATCTTCTGCAGGAGATTGTCGGCTGTCGGTATACGGGAGAGGGTCAAGGCTGGGCGGGAGACTCGTGGGCCGCGAGTCCCATGCTGCGGGCTGCCAGTCACGAAGCAAGGCCAGGCATGCAAAGCAGCCCAGGCCGCACAGCTAGCCAAGCCTAGAACATGCAGGGACCTGTTCCGCCGCTCCATTGCACTTTCAAACCTATGATGACACTCTGCTTGCGTCGCTTGGTTGCGTAAAGCTTGCTTTACAGCTGCAGGCCTTCACTGCAAACATTTAGACATTCTGATCATGCTGCACGTCCTCTAGAATCTTAGAAAGCTTGACACACTTGAGCATGGCTGACCTGCTGACTGGCTTTCTCGCTGCAGCCAGATCAATAAGGGAGAGCTTGGAAAGCTGCAGTTGGACACGGTAGTTGCTCAGCACTGGCATCCAGCAGTCATGAAAGTGTCTGAACTGTCTTGGGCAGTGCTGAGAGCCGGTCACCATTGAGCATCACGAGATCGCGAAACCAAAAGCCAGAAATACTGCTTCCTGCACACGTGTCAGGGGGCAGTGTTGAGAGCCGGTCACCATTGAGCATCACGAGATCGCGAAACCAAAAGCCAGAAATACTGCTTCCTGCACACGTGTCAGGGGATGATAAGCGCCCAAGGCAGCCCTGCGTCCTTCTGAATAGGATTCGACATATCCGCATCGTGCCGCATCACAGCGGTTGCAGTCTGGGCCTTTTACAGCCGATGACAGTGAATCATCATGGGTCCCCGCCGTTTCTGCGCACCGCAGGGCAGCGTCCTGGACGTGTTGGAGGCCTTCCAAGTTGGCAAAGCTGGGCAGGTCAGGACATCCAAGCATTAGCAAGCCTTCATATCGAAAAGGGGATCAAGATGATGCCCACAATGGCCTGGCCCATCGACGATTTGTCATTATGATCCTCTCAACCTTCACAGATACAGTAAGAACGGCAGGTAGGCTACAGCCAACGCATGGGAAGCCTAGGTCACACCCCTGGACTGGAATAGGCTTCTGCAACCATAGAAAGGCTGAGGTTGCGACCACAAAGAGCGCTGCCAGTATCAACTATGACCGACGCAGCTTGCGGTGGTGTTCCCACAAGCAGCTCCTGGCCGGATCCCCGGTGAAGCTTTTCAACGGTGTTCGTTTCGTCTGAGGCAGCCGCCGCAAAAAAGTACGCATAGGCGTTTATGTTGCCGAATAATGGAGTAATCTCTACCTGGCATCAAAGCAAAAGAGGGTCTTCTTGAAGCAATATGGTCACTACAGCCACGCAGCGATTACGTGCCGCACCGGCAAGTCTGCGTGCTTCAACAGTCAAAATCATGCTGACACCCCATTGTCGTCGGCAGCTGCTGCCGCTGCCGCGTGCCTGGGAGAAGCATCTGTCAATAGGTTAGCTGCTGCCAGCTAGCTCGCGGAAAAGGACAGCTTCCGATGCCTGACGTTCAGGAGCAGGAGGAGCAACTTGCAAGCGAGCCTTGATGATGAAAAACTGAATGGTGACGTGTGGTTGGCAGTGGCTAGCTGCTGCCGTCAGCTCCGGGCAGTCTGGTGTGCCATACCATCTCATGAGCGTTTGCTGACTAGTGATGCAAGGAGTCAAGTCTGCAGGGTTTGCTCTACTTCAGCTTGGCGATTGGCCTTTCTTTCCGAAACTCAGACGTGAATGTGGTTTGCACACAACCTGCTTGTGCGAGGGCTTTCAAATGAGCAGTTGAGCTCGTAAGTCCCAGATCTACGTGTCGAGGAGGAGCGGGGCATGCTCTCTATGCTCTCTTGCAGCTTCTCTTGGAAGAGGGAACTCTTTCCATGCTTTGGGACCCTTTTCAATCGCTAAGGTCTGGCTGTACATGTCGGCTCTCCGTACCCTCCAGGCAGGGGAACCAAATGCTGGCGCTACTTGAAGCTTGTCTGACTCCCTGCGAAAATCATTGGCCAGGGAGAAATCAGCTTGGCACAGCACATGCGAAGGTCTCAAGGCGTGCTGGAGAATCGGGAAGCAAAGCTGACATGATAGTCCTGTATGAACCTGTCTTGCAACATCTTCAGCATCAACACAAGTCTTGCGCACGTTCAGGTGCTATCACAAACATCAGGAACAATCGATTTCATTGCCATGTGGTCAGGGTACAGCTACAAGGCAAAAGCCTGAACGTGCAGGCAAGATCACGCAAAAAAATCTAGATGGTTTGGCAGAGTGAAAGGAAAGTTGCTGCGGGAGCAGATATCGAAATTCACGATCCATAGACAAGTGTTGATAAAGCTGGTCCTGAGGCCTGCTCAAAAGAAGTGCCAAATGTAGCGATGGTCTCCTGCAACTCAATGTTTCTCCGACACATGACTTCAAAGCCTATGCAAGGAACGCGCGTGCCCATCGCAAGTACCGGCATCATGCGATTTTCCGCCCGCGTGCCATTCGGCAGGGGTTGCCGTGGTTCTGCTCTATCGCAATGAAGCTTAGCTTCAGACGCACGCAGCGCAAATCCAGGATGTTGGTTCAGAAAATTGTGTCATTTCGCGCAGGTGGGGCATCTCCTGAAAGAGCCAAGCACAGGCAAAACCCTGAACTCTTGTCCCTGCAGCTGCCTCGAACAGCTCGATCCTGAACTTTTCTGGCCTGGCACTTTTTAGAAGAGCCCATCACTGACTGAGGGACAGAAGCCCTTAGCATCGCTAACTATCATTAATGTCTCCAGTCATGGCTTGTCTGGCCTTGATGCTCAAAATCAGGGACTTGCCTGCCCACGGTCAAGCAGTCTTGCAACAGTTCGGGTTGAGCATTGCAGTAGCTCACTGCGGTTTGTGGAAGCTCTTTAACAACTGTGCAGCCCGCTACGGTGGTCTTGATTGGTGGACGGCTCGTTCAAGTGTTGCTTGACTTCGCAAACTCTCGTTTTTGTTGGGGAATGTGGGCCAGAATCGCATCCTCGACAGACGATAACGACGGCTGAGCTCCAAGATTACGGCAACATTACTTTTGATTAAGGAAAGAAAGCGAAAGGTAAGTCTGTCGCGTTGGCTGGTGTTCAGCTCGAACTGGGCCCACCTCCTGTGCAATGCAGTCCGCGGCTCACGGACAGAGCATTTATTCAGCCTAGCCTGGGGAACGTTTCCGTTGACTTGACCATCTCTTCGAGGATTTCAGTCTGGGACAGGACATCCTACAACCCAAGGAAAGTAACCAATGCCTGCGGAGCCTGTCTCTTCAAGACATCATCAATCTCCGCCCTCATTTGTTCGGTCCTGGCAAGAAGGGAAGCATGCTGGCTTCGAGTTTGGACAAGCGTGGACAAGCTTAAGCTTCAGGCTGGGAATCACCCACCAGATCATCTGCACTTTTGACTTGCTCCTTCAGAGAAGCCTGCGGCAGAGAAATCGCTGACTATGTAGTGAACAAGCAAGCCAACGTGGACTGAATGCGACAGTAAGCTTCAGTCCAACCCACGCAGCACCGTTGCAACTTCCTCTTTCAATCTATGAGCTTGTGCCTGGCAGGTCATCTAATCTAGCGCGTGATTCACAGATTTCGCATACTGGAACATGCACAGTAGAAGAAGGAGAAGCTGAGGCCTCTGTGCGACAAATTCGACTCTCCAACGAGCTGAGCAATCACAATGCATAAAAGACCAAAAACAAGCTTGCAACTCAGGAGACTCGCACTTTGCTACCCGAGGGCAGGGCTCTGGCTCTTTTGCCCATCCATCAGCCGACAAGTCCATGTTGTACACACAAAGGAGTTTGAGTTGTGAGTTGATAGTAGCAAAAACAAATTCAGCTCGACGCGTCATGACGAAACACTAAATAAATCCCCTACAACCTACAGGCAACAATTCACTTGAGGCACAATCCGCGAGGCCGGCTGCTAGCGTCGACACTAGCCTGAAGACACAGCTCGACTCCAGAGGTGGTCCTCGTACGGCTTCGACACACGCGGAGGCGGCAATGTGGCCCATCCTGCTGCAAAATGAGCTGTAAATGGTTCACGCACGTCCAACATCATCCGATCATCGTTGCTGCCGAAGCGCAGCCTGTCCGAGCCTGGTCAATTGAAATCTTGACATGAGGACTTAATGCAGGCTGACCATGCAACAAGCACTGCCTTTTTGGCGGCTGGCTCTCCATTTTCGGCGCCCGACCTGACGAGCAGGCTGAAGTCATAATGCCAAGTACATAGGCGTGCAACAGGCAATGCACCCTACAGATAGCCCATACACCTATAAGCAGGCCGTGACAGGCCCCTTGGACATTCCTAGCACTCGCCAGATGAAGCTGGCATAGCTGGCAGACATATCCACCTTTCAGACAAACATGGACAAATATGATTATGAAAGGAGCTCCTTTACCCTACCATCAAGAATGAGTGGGTGCTTCAAGCGAATACCCTACATGGCTTGCTGGGGTTTCACCATGTCACACACTCAACTTAATAAGGGATCGAGAAGAATTTATAAGGTACGGTCGAGGATTTACTGCATATTGCAGTGTTTTGGGTCGCATAGAGGCTGCTGATACTGTAAATTGCAGCATTTGGCTTCCGTACAGGCTGCAGACATTGCAAATTGCAGCATTTTGGGCCGCATAGAGGCTGCAGACGCTGTCAACTACAGCATTTGGAGCTTCGTATAGCTTGCAGATACTGTCAATCACAGCATTTGGAGCTCATCTAGAGCTTTGAGATACTGTAAACCACAGCATGTGGAGCCTCTTAGCGCTTGCAGATTCTGTAAATTACATGAAAAACTATCCAAAATAGTAAAGCATTGTAGAAAGAGATGAAAATGACGGAAAAATGTGCAAAATAATGAAAATGACGAATAGACAAAGAGAAAACGGGTGAAAAATCCTGGTGAATCAATTGAATGCAATGGCAAATGCATGCGTGGATGTGCTTTGTAAAATGATAGCGGAGGGAGTTGCGGGGGGGGCGCAGCCCCCGCAATTGCCGCTTTGATTTGTCAACGTGATGTGATTAATGATGAGATGTGGATGAAGATTTTCAAAACATATGAGAAGGATCAAATGTCATGAAAGGCGATCAGAAATCACGAAAATTAAATATTAAACATTGCAAAAAAAGGGGGAAATCATTAGAAATTATGCAAAATCATTAAACATCAAAACATAATGAAATGTCAAGAAAGTGATGATACACGCCAGACTAGTGATGAAACAGTTAAGAATTGCAAGAAACTCATGTAATATCCGTGAAGATGATGAAGAAGATGATAAAAAAATTTTCAAAATTGATGAAAACTGATAAAACATGTTGAGCATTTCTTCCTTCCTTCCTGCCTACTTGGCATAATGTTCTTCTTCTGCGGGCGAAAGAGAGGCCTACGCCTCTCCCAGGGCACTGCCCACGCCCCTGGTCCCCCCCGGAGGGCCGAAGAGCCACCTATCCCAGGCCTGCATACCAACTACGAGACAGGTAAACCAACATCAACCTGGCACGCATGTCCAGGTTAAGCTTCCCTTCCTTCTCCACGCGGCTGTGACACTCTGGAACGCATGGCCGCAGTCAAGGAATCTTTGCTAGGATGTTACCGAGCAAGAAAGCATTACCCGAAGACTCGAATGTCCTCTAACAAACCGCTAGGTCAACACATAAACATTAGCCGCCGCCCTGCTCTCATGGCACGGACACGACTTGTGTTCACTCCCCAACTCCTAAGGCCAGCCGCAGTTGCAAGAGACCCGGGAAACTAGCTTACTACTATCCAACTCATACATTCCGGGTCCCCATCTGGATATCTCTCGTATGGAGATCCGTCCCGCATGCTCTCCATGTCTCCGCTACTCGACCCCGCACATCATGCTCATGGTCCCTGCTGTATCTGAAGCAGCAAACAGCAGAACAAACTGCTAGGCAACAATCATCGATGGGCGCTTGGGAGCATGTGCTTCTTCGGCGTATCTAGCATTTTGGAGATTGGTTGCAGTATGGGTGACTGATAGGCACCAAGAACCTAGTATACCCAGCCCACGTGAGACACCCTATCCCCGGATTGGAACAGTTGAGGCTGGGCGCGGGAAATTAATGGTGGCAGCTTACGTGTCATCATTTGGTCTACCTGCTTGAACAACCACTTGAAGGAGCAATATGAGCTTTGGAGCCAGTCTGTAGCTTTTTCATCCAAGGCAGTGAGATGCAGGGGCGACGGGAGTTGATTTGCAATGGGACTGTTTCTCTATGGAGCAAGTAGTCGCCAACCTTTCCTCGGCCACAAAGGGGAACAATTCGCAATGTAGAGGAGGGAAGTGCGGCGACGGGGCGTAACCCCGGCCTGCCCCCTCACGGGACAGGCTTCGCCACTAGAAGCAGAAGAAGAAGAAGAACGAAAGAACATACTGAGGTGTATGTACCTCCAAACCTGCGATGTGGGCGCACAGAAAACAAAAGCCAAGCCATCCCGACGGGGCAGGGACCCCAAAGAATTGTTACTTGTTTCTGCTGTTCCCCTCCAGGAACCGCAGGGAAGGAAGTTGTGTCACTACAGCTCAAACGACCACGACGCATATACTTCATTGTATTTACAGCGTTGTTAGTGGGCACTTGCAGCTACACTGTGGTTTCCATAGTTAAAGCCAGGGAGGTGCCTGACGCGAGACCAACATGGGCGAATCGCACGCTAACCACAACAAGCCATATCAACAGCCTACGTAACTCTCGTAAAGGTGGGCTGCACGAGTTGTCACGCATTGCATCGGCTGGTCACGGTATACCACCCTTGAAAGTAGGCTTCGCTACTCAGTTGCTGGCACGCATGCCGAATTCTCACTGTCATCACTCACCTTGACTGCATCTGACACGTTTTGTCACGGTAGGACCGAAACGTTCCAGTATGACTCTATCAATTTGTACCAGTACCCATTGAATTTTTTTGCGCTCAATGCAATTGTTGCTCCCTTTTCTCACATGCCATCCATCTGTCTTCCAGTTTGCCGGGGGGACTGCACCTATCCAACATTTCTCGTACTGCGAGGTATGCATCATCTTTTTGTCGGTTCGCGTCTGCCATTTGATTTCCAGTCGGATTGCCAATTCTTTGATATCTCCCTCTTCCGGGTCTTCCTCCAGTCTTGCCTCCCATTGTTCCCGGAAGCGCTTGCTTTTCCCCATCCACATGGCAAGATATCCAATCTGGTCCAGTTCCACTCGCGTTCTCGATGCATTCTTTCGTCCATACTTCTCCACCCAGGTGCTCTCACCGGCTTAGCCGGAGGGGTGTTGCGATGCCATCTGCAATTGATCGTCTCCTCCTCCGACTCGCTCTCCCTATTCTGCACAGGCGGTGTTTGGCATTCCCGGGCGCACCCTTACAGTGGATGCCTCCCTTTCTGGTTGAGGGGCCTTAGGACACGGCAGATGGTCCTCAGGCGGGAAGCGCACTGTTTTCTGCCAATCGTTGCTTCTCAAGTCGCACTCTTTTCACCTTTTCCAGCTTTGCTACTGCGACATCGACTATCTTGGCCTCATCAACCCTGGCGTTTGCTGCTGGTGGGACCTTTAGCTTGCCCCCTGTCTGTTCGGACCTTTTCTCCTGATGAGGCTTGATGTCTTCCCTCTTCCGGATCGCTGAGCTCGATGGTCGGTTCTCCTTCTCTGCAGCTTGTTTGTCCTTTGGTACTCGTGCTCTCTCTGTTCCAGTTTGCCAATTGAAGACTTCCAGAACCATGTCGGGGCTGTGTTCCTCCCCTGCCGTCGTCTCTTCGATCTGAGCAGGTTTTTGTGTACCACGCGCGGACGCACCTTTCCCGTCTTGGCTGTCTTCCTTGGGGCTGTCTCCCCGTCAGTGGAGCTGGTCGAAGAGCTCGATGTGGATGCGGCGGCTGCGTGTTCTCCTTGTTCCAGCTTCAGCAGCATTAATAACCTATGCCTTCCTTTCATCACTCGCGCTCTGGCGGCCGATGGTCTTAGTTAGTCTCAGTCAGCATGCAATTAATTAATCAGCAGTTCTGCTGATCTTCTCCTTCAGGAGGAGTGGCTACAGCCACCTTCCTACTCCTCAGCCTCGTTGGGCGAGGTAGGGCTTACGCCTTACGCTACTGACTCAGTCCTAAGACGAGGTCTCTACCTGGAGTAGGGAACCTAGGGTTTATATGTGCGTTGAATGGCTCACCCTTTTCTCTGCTTTAGGCAGAGCAAGGCTATTGCGCGCCAGCACGCACTCAGCCCTAAGGCGAGGTAGGGCACTGCGGGCACTTGGTAGGGTGGCTAGCCTTCCCCAGCTAACTGAAGGCTGGGGGCAAGAACGGTTGCCTTTAAGGCTTTGCATAGGTGGCCAAAATGGCCTGGTTTGGACTCCCCTCTGCCCGTAAGACGCTGAACAGTTGGCCATGGTGGCCTTGTTTCTACGCCTGCCTTTCTTCACACACGCCTCAACCAGCCCGTAGGCTTGTCCAAGTCCGTTCAAAGCAATGGCTCGTTGGCCATTGCCTCCTGCACTAAGCCCAGGGTAGGCGGAACCCCCTACTCTCCTGGTTTGAGGCTTCTGTCCAGCCGACTCCTACACCTACAGTGTAGGAGTGGTAGCCACTCCAGTTAGAGGGCGGCTCACCTGCCCTCTTTTAGAAGCCTTGCATGGCTCCATCTGTACGCATGACCCCCATCTTGGTAGCTCTTGCAATGAGCAGCGAATGCTCCGAACATACCCTTCCAGTCCTGGTTGTGGCGGGTGCGTATGGTGTTGAGCGTGTCGTACGAGGTGGAGACGTACTCACTGGCCAATTTCCACAACCCGGTCCAGGCGTATGGTTTGGTGCGCGGTCGCGCCTCCGTCCACGACATTGTATCAAAGAAACAAACACGCGGTGTGGGAAGGAGCTTGATGCCCATATTCCCACGCCCGATATCTTTCAAGTGGATTTTGTGAGAGGCCAGGAAGGTCACGACAGCAAAGGCCTGGAACACAAATTCCTTGCCCGGTTGAGGCCATCAAGAGCGGTCGTGAACCTTGCTCTATGAGCCTAATCCTTACAGTCTGGGTCTGCAGGATTTGAGCAATGAGCCTGGGGAAGCACGCGCACCACTGCGCCTCGTTCCCGTGATGGGAGGCGAATTTGATGACTCGCTGAGGGTCAAGGCCATACACGTGCCTGTGCGTGCCCTGCCCCAGTTTGGAGAGGTCCACGGAGG